AATCGGAACTAAAATATAGTGTGCTTATAAAGAGGGTGTGATTATATAAGGTGTGATTATAGAGAGGGTCGACTGTACTTGTATATCAATTGAATTATTAATAAAAGTCATAAAAATTTTTAATAATTATAAAATTGTAATAATAAAAGTTTATTTTTTATGATAAAATTTATAATATATTATATTATTATTAAAGATAAATCAGTAATTATTTGATTATATAACCTTTTAGGTTATAATCTAAATTATAATTAGTTGCAGAATCTTAATTTAAAAATTATAATATAAAATTATACAACTAGTTGCAATTTGATAAATTGTAACCTAGATTGCAATTAATTGCAGATTTTTCAAAACAGTTGCAGTATTAAAATATTTGATTAACAAGAAAAGTCACTCAACTCACTCTTTCCTCTTATACTTGAATTAACTTTGTTAATAATATTTCAAATTTCATATATATTATTATCATTTCATAAAATTTTTTAATTTAAAAACTTTCTATCGGTTTCTTTTTTAATGAGTCCAAATTCCAGGATCTCAACAATAATACTGAAGAGAAGTATTTTATTGAGTGATACTTCTAAAATACAAAATAACAGCATTTACAGTAGATTAGGAAATTTGGAAATTAACCTCTCTCGTTTCCTTCAAGTCAAGAAATGAATACATTTATATGTTATTTATCTAATCTTTTGATTCATATTATCTTATTATAATTGTTCATTGTTGAAGGGAGCAAATAATAAAATTTTTATTATTACGAATTGTAAAATTTAATAATAATAAAGTTATAAATTTAAAAGAGTAAAATAAGCAGTATATTAAGAATGTAAATGTTTTACATACCATTTGTCTTTTCATTACTATTGCGTCAGGCTAGATATAAAATGGAAAACAACCTACTGCTATCAAACAAAAACATTTTACTGAGAAAATACCAAAGATACTAGAAAACGATTTTTCGTCCTCTTCCGGAATTACGACTTGTACATCTGTCGTCTTCGGTTTCAAATTTTACTATACTAATTAACATATCTATGTATTCTTGTATTATTTATCTTCTTTTGGCAAACACTGATAATTGGAGGATTCGATCGACTGGTTAACAGAGGATGATTGCATGAATTAAGCTCATTCTTCTTTGGGAACTTGCTGAAAGTATCAATTATAATATAATAAGATGTATAAAAAATGTTGTAATTTCAAAATTTGATAAATAAATTTATTTATAAAAATATAAAAGAGAAATATTTCTTATTCGTGTAATAATACTGAATTTGAAAGTTTGCCACTTCCTCACGTCCTTTCAAATTTCCAACCTGATGTTTCTTTGAAAACAAATACTATCATTGTTACATGAATCTGTTTCTGTACTTGTCTTTTCCCTATTTCCAAAACGAAACTTATTACAAATTTACAAACAATTTCAATGCGTTGGTTACCAACAAAGAAGAATAAATCCGATTATTGGCAAAATCATTATTGTTTTAGGAGAGCAATGCTGGTACCATCAACTATTTATCAAAACAAAAGGTTCTAGGCCACCAAATTATAAAATTCATCATCAGATTCGTAATTTTTTTCAAGAAAAAAGATTTTTACGCCAAGATTTCTAATATTATTAATTAATTCATCATCCAGAAAGTACATGGTGCTTTCTAATGGAATAAGTTTCTTGATGCCCAAAAATTTTAAACTTCTCTTCTCTAAAGTATAATTCATAATAATATTTAAAAGATCATTATTCATTTCAAAATAAAAATTCAAACTAACCAAACAAGAATTAATATTAGATAAGAAGGTTTTCAAATTATCCGAAGATAAAGAATTATGAGTGATAAAAGTAAAGTGTTTAATGGTAATAGGTAAACTACTACCTAAATCTTGTAAAAGTTCTTTAAAATCTAAAGACAAATCAAAAATTGGATGAATAATAAGATGATCAATATTCATTCTTTTTAATAAGAGATAATCGAACTTCCCGAATTGAACTTCCAAGACTTTCAAATTTGGACAATAAGAAATTATAGATTCCAAAGTTTCGGATGATATTTGATCAAATGATAATCTCTTCAAAGACCTTCCAAGGGTACTAATAATAGAAGCTGTGATATCTTTTGACCATCTATTTCTCGTCATGGTTAACTTTTCTACTTTACAAACAGATTTATCCAAAATTAAGTTACAATGATCCAAGGTCATGCCGCCACAGTAATAAAGCCTTAAATTTTTTAAATTCGAGCAATTTGCCAAAACTGAGATATGATCATGACATAAATGAACGAAATCTAACTGAATTGACTTTAAAGAATCTCTTTGTGATTCCAATGATAAAACTATATTTAAAACTATATTTGACCCAATGTACCTCGGTTCAGATAAGGTAAATTTTAAGAGTTTCTTTTGATTATTAATGATGTTGATAATATAAGAGTGGAATTTACAATTATCAAATTTTTCGTCAATGATAACCCCTAACTCTGTAATGTAAGTACAATTTTTTGCTATGGTATTTAAAAATTCGAGCAACGAAGGTTCTCGTATCTTTTCAAAATATCCGGTGAACAAACAAAGTTTTAAATCTTTTAAGGTTGATAAATTTCTTGAAATTTCATTAAAGAATCTTTTATTTAGGAATTTGGAGTTGAATATGATTGGTTTTATTTCCAAGGATTTTATTTTACGACTTTTTCTTGTAAACATGTGAAAAAGTGTTGCTTGTACCATTAACTTTGTTTCTTTATCATCAATACTTCTAGTTCCAAATTGTCTTGAATATCTTGATGTTTTATCACCAACAAAAACTTCATCATCATTTATTAGAAACATAAGCCAAATTCTTATTGTATCCGTTAAATCGTTAATTGATAACTTTTCCAAATATGTTTCATATTCAAAAAGGGTTATTTCATTTTCATCTGTTAAGTTAATGTTAACCTGTCGTAAGTAATTTTTTTCTTCCGCATCAAGACATTTCAAAAATGTACTGATTAAAAAATATTCGTTTATATATTTTAATTCTTGACCAAATGGATTAGAATAAAGTAAGGGTACGAAATTTTTACAAAAAAAACTATTAACGAACAGACAATTAAATAATGTTTCCCTATCTTCCTTAAGCCATTGTAAAACTTGATAAATACAATCTTCTATCAACGATATCATTCTTGTAGAAAATGTCCGTCCGACAAGTTTGATGATATCAATTTTAGGTTGAATGAGGTAATAAAAAGAGGTCCAATCATTGTGTAACTATTTATGGTAAATATTATGTAATTTGCGTTACAAATTAAGTTCTAAGCCAAAACATAACATCCAAGGTTAGAACAAAAGCAACATAAAACCTATTGATTATAAAGAAATCAGGGCAGTGATACATCCAACTCTAAAATATTCATAAAATTTAACCTTCAAAGAATTATAATCTTATTCTTATTATTAATAAAAGATACATTTTTTTAAAATAAAAAAAGTAAGTAGATTAAAATTGCGAATATAATACAATTTATGGAAGAAACGGATATAACAAACAAATATTGGTTGGTATTATAATCTTATTTAAAAAAGTTATAAGCATTATTCTTGCATAAGAAAGGAATTATTTATTTTGATATGATATTATTAAGGTCCATTAAAATTGTTGTGTTATATTTAAATCAAACTAAGAATTATTTATATAGCATGCAAAAAAATATGCTGATGGCATGCTTATTTTTATCATGAAAATATGTTGATCAAATGAGTAAAGTTTTTCATATTTAATATAGTGATTTTATGAGGGTATATTGATATATAATACTTATCTAAACAAATTAATGATTTATTTTTTATTTAATTTCATAGCAAATTGGAAGAGTGATCCTATTTTGCAGTACGTTGTTTAATAATTCGAATCAATTATTTGATTCCTATTATTGATCCCGAAAATAACATCGTATTGACAAAAGATATGCATTTCAAATTCATCCGAGATTTTATAAATAAATTAATACAATATTACAATTTAGATTTGATAGGTAATGAAAGTAAATACATTTCAAATCAGGGTGGTTTGCTATTAAATCACATATGAATTTAATAGCAAACAACGAGTAATAATTTTTGATCAAATAATTCTAACTTCACATGATAATTTCTGAATGAATTAGATGAATCAAACTGAATCAAAAAAGTTTTTTTATTGGATTTTTAATATTAATTTTGAGAAATATTATAATGAAGCGTTTAAATTAATTTCAATAGATTCAGAAGATATTATCCTATTGCACGAGTTCATTGTGAAATGTTATAAAGAAGGATTTGGATTATAGTCGATAATAATTTTGCATTTTATTGATATGAAAATATGTAAAAATAAATAATAATGGTATACAGGTATTTATTATGAATATTTAAAAGGTTTTTGCCATGTTCATTTTGAAATGGTAATAAAGCAAATAATAATTGTCAATTATTCTCTATTGACCTTTTCATTGATATTTTATGTTACAATATTTATTAACATCGGAATGATTTAAAAAAAGCTTTACAATAAATAAAAAAATTTTTAAAATGACAAATTCTTTTGAAAAATGATGAATTAATCTATTTAAAGTTGTTATAAATATGGGAATTTACAAATAATAGTACTGATGATTGAAGAATTAAAGTAGATTTTTCTCTAAGTAGTAATAGATAAGTTTTGCGGTAGATTCATTTAATCGTGCAATTTTCTATGGAGATATATGGAAATCTATTGGAGAGCAGTATAAAATATGATCGATTTTAATATTTTACATGTTGGACAATATATTGTTTAGATTTCATTAAAAGGATTTGTTACATGTTAATGATTATTTGACTAGAATTGGGTGAATATTTGCAATCATAGAACGCAAATTAATTAATTGGTCTTAAGTGAGAGTTAAAAAATGCAAGTTCTTTATTTTTGAATTATTTTAGAAAAAGTTTTCTAACAATTTTTTTTATTTGACGGCGAAGGATTTACGTATATCAGGCTTTCAAATATATGAATATGTTTGATTCTAAATCTTTATATGGTCTTCCGCTTTCATCATTCTATTGATTTTTTAGAGTATATCCTTCCTCTAATTTTCCAAATACCGTATATCTATCATCCAAATTTTCACCCGTTGTAAATAATAAAGAATTGTGAACCACTAAATCCTTCTTTACCTTATTTTTCCACTGCCATTGAAACTTACCCAATTTCTTATGTTTTAATTTTGATCTGTGCTGGAAAATATTTTTTTAATCTGTCCATATAAGATTCCACCAAATATTGACTCTCCTCCCATACCGGTTGCTGTTACTCCGTTTGTACCACAAACCTCTTTTTGAACATAACTTTATACGATCTAAACATGTATTTGAACAGAGTTTTTGTAAAAATCTTTAATATATTACTTCAATGTAACCGCTCACTAAGTAAAAGAATAATAAATTGGTTGACATAAACCATTTTAAGATGCATTTTATTGATCATTTTTCATTTTGCTTTTTATTCTCAAAAATCAATTATTGCAGAGAATTTTTTATTTTAAAATTTGTATAGCTTTAGAACAATCCTTAGACGAATTTACAAAAATGAAGAATTATTATTTTTTTTTTTTAAAAAACTATTTTTGTAATTATCAAAAGCATATTTCAAGAAAATATGTCAAATTAGCAAACGAAAAGGGTAAAAATTCAGAAAGACCTTATAAATAAAAAATAAATTTTTTTTCTTACTTTGAGTTAAATATTGGTAAATTTTATTAATTAGAACGGATTTAATAAAATAAGCAAGAAATATCTTTATTTCGACATTGATTAAAGGAATTAATGGTTAATTTGTCCTTATAACTTAAAAGTTAATAATAAAAAAAATATTCTTCTACCAAATAATAATAATGAAATTAAATTAAATAAAAAATATCTACGGTATTCCGAAGTATTTATAGTTCGGTTATTGATATAAAAATTATTAATGTTTAAACAAATAAAATTTTTAAGTTTCTGACCCGGCCGTTTCGGCGAAATGAACTGATATAAATAACAATAAATCCAAATTTTAATAACAAGAACTTTTTCTATACTATTTTTTATTTCATTAAGAGTAAAAATTTCAACTTACCCGTCTTGGTTGTTGGCTAGAAGTTGTGTTCGGCACCATTATGGAATATTGTAAAATTTTTTTTTTTTCAGAAATTATTTTTTTTTTATTAATAATGTCGATTTTTATGTAAGTGAGTGAAATGTACGGGAGAAGCTGCGCATAAGTATCAAAGCGCGATTTTCAAGTCTACAAGTTCATGCATTTTTCGTTAACTCCTTTTTTTATTTATCAACTTCTAAAGTAATCATAGTAAGTATACAAATATACGCTATTATGAAATAATACCAAATAGTGAATGAATCCAACCCATATTCAACTCTCCAGAATCTTTCAGCGTATTTATTTTGAATTATTAACATTAGAATTAAGATAAAATAAAGTAAATGTAGAGCGGCTTTAGAAAACCAACATAGATCTAAAAGAAAAGCTGTGCGATAGAAAGGAATGTTGTTGGTCCGAAATTTAAATCTAAGGTATAGTGATCTTGGTGAATCAAATTCAAAGAGAAATGCAAATTAGATTATAATAAAAAAATGTTTAAATAACCGAATAAATTCTTCCCAATATTCATCACTCAAAAAATGCGAAAGATCAAAAGAGTAAAAAATACTGGCGAATAAAATAGAAAAACTGATGAATACAATAATCCATCCATAATAATTATACAACGAAAATTATGTCGTATTCGAGACTTTATATCTTTAGAATATACATATCATTAAATTTTAATGTCTTGGTTTTTGCAACAAATTAAAGGAAGAAAATATATATATATATATATAGATATTCACGCGTTTTTTTTTCTCGAGTTACTTTATTATAAATTTCAAGGACTTGGACGCGTTATTTTTCAGGTAATAAGTTAAATAATGATTATAAAAAATATGAAAATCACGTCATTTAAAAATGTGATTTGATAAGAAAAAGAAATTTCGTTTCTGAATTCATAGAATCGAACGATAATACTTATGACTAACCAACAGATTTTACTACAATTAACATTTTTTTTTCTTTTCCATAAAATATCACGTAAAGATTTTTTTTTAATTTGGATTGACGTCTATCCTATCATTGTATCACTCCTTAATTACGATTCGAAAAATTGTTATATACAATATTTGCTTTTTTTGAATACGTCAGCAAGCAAAAGTACATCAGTTTCGAGATAAAGGTCATGGTATTCTCCAAAGTTTTTCATCTCAAATGTTTGCTATATTTCTTGCGCGTTTCTATAATCCTTCTTACTAATATTTTGTTGACTAAGAAGCGAATAGAAATCTTTTATTAGAGGAAGCTCTGTTCTATCGAATCTGTCTCAAGAGTTATTCCAATCATAAAGAAAGACATCCTTTCAGAAAAGAAGCTTAATTTTATCTATCAAATATCCTTTCACTGTAAAGTACTTAACAGTTAGGGAAATTTTTCGATCTTTCCTCCCAGATATTCTACTAACTTATTGAGACCCATTCCCATATGTTGAAAGCTATCTAAGAATTGAAGCTAACCTACATCTATAGCTTTGTACTTTCCTATATTCTCTAGAATACATTTTAGCTTTTAACTGTGAACTTACTCATAACTTTCATTAACAGATGGGAATTATAACCTCGAAAATTATGACAAATAAGAGGTACGTTAGTTTCAAAGGAATCTATTTGTAACTTTTATTACATGCATCATAAGCTGGACCTTAATACTTTTCACTTATATGATCATGATCTTTTACCTTAAAATTGAGTCCACTTAAAGCTTATTGATATTCTTTTTGTATCTTTTTCTTTTCTGAATGTCTTCTCCTATAATTGTTTTCCATTCGTTAATTTCTAGTAATCTGTATTTGACTTCTTCAAAGTTTTACGATACTTCTGAAGATAGTTTTAGAAAAGCTTTCTTGCAAATCCAGCATTCAGTTGCTTCATTATACTCTCTAATATCTCCAGGTGCTATGATTATTTCAGCTGACGTAGATAAATCTTTCTGAATTGTTAAAAACTCTCCTCTATTTTTGTAATAAATCTTTCTAATGTATCTGATCCTCTATATCATAACTCGTAATCTCATAATTAAGTAAACTGTTCATGCAAACAATCATATAGATATAATCATATGGTTTATGTATCTGTAATCATTTGTATTGGTTAACTTCATTTTTTCTTTTGGAGTTAACTTTTCACAGGATTGTAATATACAGTATTAGTATAGTGATTAATACAATTAGTACAATTAGTGCATTATAATAATTAATATAAAAATTAGTATAAGTACAGTACAAGTACAGTGTTAATTTTATCTAGTACATATAAAATTCCAAATTCTGGCTTCAGTTAATATTTCCAATTCTAAAAAATGCAATATGGATTTAGTTGCATGCATTTATAATTATAGAAAGCTTTAACACTTCTATTCTTTACCAGCATTTGTGATCACTGAGATACATTATTTAGACCTTTACATTTTGGCAAATATTCATTATATCATATCTCTAAAGAATATACATAAAGACAATAACAACAAATGTATTTTCTCCTTTTATGTTTGCTATGATTATACATTAGCTTATATAAATCTTTGATTAATGACTTTTATCTTCTTCTGTAATTATTAAAAGATTTATAGGCCTATATTCTTCTCCCCTTCTTTCTGAAACGTATTGGAACTCAAGACATTTATTCTGATTATACCACTCATAGACATATAAGATGATTACTGGATTATTTTTTTTGAACTTTTTATAAACTGGTGTTGTAACAGTGTAAAATTTTGGCTAAAATCTGATTACAAATCCAATGTCAATTAAATGTCCTTGTTTATCATCTC